GCAGGTGGGTTCAAATTATTGGGAAAGTGAGAAGAAAATCCCACGTCAATTAAGTATGAGATAGTATATGGGCTTATAACATTTAGGGATTGAACTTCAGTTCATTCTAAAAATTATTCATTCTTATAATGATATGATTACTATAATAAACGAGGTTCGACCCAATAAACACCTAGAGGGGGTAAATAGGTGTTATATGTAAAATTCAAAATTAACCAATAATAACTTACAACAAGTCACAAATTATTAGTTCTAGATGAATCTAGATCAATTTAAACCATATCAATCAATCAAGCATAAACATCGAAGCAATAAAATAAAAAATACTAATAAATTGTTTATGAAGGAAAAACCTTGAAGAACTTTTCAAAAGAAAAAAACTTTCAGGCACACTAGAAAATAAATAATTCACTAGAAAAGATTGAACTTATAACACTAGTCTAGACACAACTAAACCTTGGTAAACTCTAACCCTAACATGTAATCACCAAAAAAAACTCCTCGATTGTGTGCTCTAGCACTAGCTCCTGAACCTTTGGATTTATTTTCTCCAAGTGGATCTCTAAGAACGAACTTGTTTCCTTGAATCTTCAGAAAATTGAAAGAGATTTGTTTGAGGTTTATTGGAGTTTTTGATCTTTTTGTGTTTTGTTATTTTGATCTTGTGGTTGAGGTAAGAAAAATATTGAATCAATGTTTGATCTTCAACGGGATGTTCTCTTTAATGAATAATAGCTCAACATCCTTTTGGGATGAAATTTTGGTTCAATATATATAGTATTAGATAGTTATGAGTTGTTTGGGATTCAAAAAGGGATAGAAAATCGCAAACTATGACACGATCGCTTGATAACAACGTCCAGCTCGAGGTCTAGTCCTGCTCAAATGCTTGAGCAACTCACTTGGCAGTCTTTGAGCTTTTTTTTTTTTGCCTTGACTTGATTTTCTTAAGCTGACTTTGATTTTTTCCAAAAACACTCCCAACATCCAATAACTAAACCCTAAATACAACTCGATAAAATGCTTTTTTTTTTTTTTTGGGCACGAAATTTTGCCAATACATTTTAAATCTCCCAATTTGAAATTCCGTGAGAAAATTATTTATTTCATGATTAAACAATGTACACAACCTAATACATATCAACTCAATGGCTCAAAACCAAAATTGCGTCTCAATTACTTTGTAATACCTATTTCCTGAGACAAATCAATTTAAACAATACCAAGTGTAAAAGTACGTTGAAACTAATAAAATTATCATGCGACAAGTGAGATAGAATCCATCAAAATATTATATCAATAAACTTAACATATACCAAGCTAGCAACATCAAAATATGATATCAACATTATACAAAATACCATCAATATACTACAAGCCATCATGATCAACTATTTGCCAGCCAAATATCAAAATAAATACTACTACTCTACTACTCCTCCCTAAATCAATACTACTCTCCATTTTTGTCATGAATAACAAAGGGGTATCAACATCCTAATTTTAATCGCCATCAGTAATCATCTCTATGTCAGATCCCTGCTCTAATTACTGTTGAATCCACTAAACGTCTGCTGTGAGCCAATCAGCAATGGATCGAAGTGATGTAGTATCGTCCATCATATGAGCCTACTGCTCAATAATCAGGGATAACTAACGCATAATGGCAACTGAAGAGTTAGCAGGGCCAGAGAAAGTAGATAGATAAACTATGGTCGAAGAAGCTGGGAGAGCTTCCTGAGAAGATGATGGAATATAGACGGTGGAGCATAAGTCTGACTTTGAACTATAGTCAGCCGGCTGGCTAATAGGTTGGTCGAACCGCTAAAAAGCCTCAGAAAAAATTGACCTCAAGACCCGACACTGGGCACTGTATTAGATACCCGTATGGTAAACTCTTCTTTTTATGGCTTTGGCTAACCCCCCGGTCCGCCCGCCCGTACAAGGGAAGAACACTATAACAAAAAATGTCTTTCGCAACGCTAAAAAAAACACGTTAAAAAAACGTTGCGAAAGACATTTTTCAATATTTGTGCATATGTTGGAGGCTTAGGTGTTGTCGTAGAATAAAACGATACAACAACGTTTATACAACGTTGCAAAAGGCCAAATTCAAACGCTACCATTTAGTTTTTGCAACATTTTAAAAACGTCGCGGAAAGTCATTTTTATAGTAAAATATGCAAATTAAACAACATAATTAAAAACTGATGTTTAATATTGATGGGTTTGCGAGATGATTCAATCCAAGATTTCCAAGTCAGCCCGTACACACACACACATGTATACGTTTATGTACATGTATATGTATATGTACACATGGCTTGATGTCAGGATGCAGGTGCCAAGAAAACTTAAACAGGGATTTAAGTAGTACATTTCGTAAAGTTTGGGGGCTCCATCTGTAATTGCCATTGTTCAATCACCAAAAATATTGAATCTTTCCCGCCGGAGATTCATGGGACCTCCACTATTTAAACAGGATTTGCACGTAATATAATTGATTAACTCCGATTAAATGATAATGACAAACAAAACTTTTGTTGAAAAGCCAAGCCACCCATCTATAATAACACCAGATTGTAAATTGCACAATTGATTTTCGAAGAAAGAAACACACACATGAAACACGCACAAAAGAAGAAAAGAGAAATCAAATGGCTAACAGTAATCACCACTTTTCGTAGAGAATAGAATTACTTATATGTTGTTCCTAATCTTTTTTGTTATTGGTTGTTTTGTGTGTAATTATGGAGTTTTTCTTGTGTTGTGGGTCTGGATATAGTGGGTCAGGGGCTCAGCAGCATCCACTGGAGAAGTCGAGATTGCTGGTGGCGACAGAAGCTCACCCCTGCGTAGGGCGGAAGAGGGGAGGGGCCGCCGGGGAGAGGCGTTGTGGGGTTATTGATTGGAGGCCATCTCTTTCATCAATATTGGAGAACAACGTTTTGTCGGAGAGGGTTTTCAACGGCGGCCGCAGTAGCGGAGACTTAATGGGAAGGGTGGTGGTACATCCATTTCACATAGAGATCGCGCTCTTTCTTCGCATCACAATAATGCTCGGTAACATTTTTTTCCAACTCCTACATCAATTTTATTGAGAATAAGGCTTAATTTATTGTGATTATTGTCTCGTAGATGCAGAATTTTATATATTTAGTAATATTGTTTCTGGATCAATGATTTGTTTAAGTTAATTTGGTAATTTTACGGAACAATATTTTACGTTTTGATTCACAGGCGAGCTCCATTTCTAGCAGGATTGCCTACATTTTCTCCAATTATGTGGATCCAATACATATAATGGAATTGTTCACTATATAGTCTAAAGTTAATCTTGTATGAAGTAGCCTTATTTTGTTATATATATCAACATTGAATTTGTTCTTGTTTCTTTTTCATTGTTTGAGTTTTGTACTATTGATCTGCATACCTCGGAATCTGTAAATAAAGAGGGGAAGATGACTTTGAATTACGAGCATGTTTGGTGCAAAACACAAAAAATGATTATATAGAGTACACTATAGATTTTTTTGGGTAGGTCTAGGTATGTCACATTCAATGACCTTAAACAACCATACTCGAGCTTTCTTCATCTTGCATTCCGGCTATTGTGTCATACAAAGGCTTGTTTAAAGTTTCCGGCAAGTAAAATGCTAGAATTCCTCCTGCAATCCCACAAGCCCCGAACACCACAAAGGGTATTCCTCCGCCCATCACCACCACGAATGGTGATAATATGGCTCCCATTTGGGCAGCCTGAGTAGCGCACCTTAGCGCTGCATTTCTTACAAAAGTAGGAACAAGCTCCGCCATATAAACAAACAACAGATTATAAGTTCTGGCCATGCCAAAAATTCCCAGAATACCACAAGCAATTCCGACAACCTTCCATGTTCCATAGCCTTTTAACAAGCTCCCTACAATGCAAAATACCCAAGTGAACCATTGTGGCCCAATAGCTAGGGGCTTTCTGCCAAACTTATTTATCAGAATAGCTGTTAAGAAAATTGCAGGCATTTCTGCTACAGCATTAAGGAGAACGTTAAGATAAAGGTTGGTTCTGAGGTTGCCCATGAAAGTTACGCAGTTCGACCCTAACAATACCTAGAAGGGGGTGAATAAGTATATATGCAGAATTAAAAATATTTTACGAATTAAACAGCAACAAGTCACTTTTTAATTCTTCTCTAGATGATTAAACATGCAAGTCAGTTTAGTCCTAAATTTGAATACCGCAGTTTATATGATCAATCAATAAACAATAACGAAAGCAGTAAATCGAAATCAGGATGATCACGGAGAAATCCAATTGGAAAAAACTTTGGGCATTTTGCTAGTCAACAATCTACTATAAACGATTTGAGCAACTTACAGTCTATCAGACTAGACGATCTGTACTATCCGATCACTCGACTGCACTCCCTGCAGCTCTTCCTGGATCCTGTGCTCCCCTGCACCAATCCTTAGCTGTTGTTGCCAAAGCTCTCCATGAAATCTGCTACCCTACAGCACTCATCGCCTTGCGGAATCATCTATTTCCCATGGATCAACGAAGAACACAACGTTGTTCACAGACTGGAACTCATGTTATACTTTCTCGATTTTCAGAACTTTGATCAGATAGGAAAGGCACTTTAGTATTTGGGTTATAGAAACTATATTTTTCTCACCAAAACAATCAAGGTAGATGAAGGTTGAAAGAAGGAATCGAATCGATCTCTCATAGATGTAGCTCTCTCAATATTCAACCTCATCAATTTTCGTACAGAAGTGTTTTGGTATATATAGGTCGATTAGAAAAACGAATGGGTAAGAGAAAAAATCTTTAAATCGCGAAATAAAAGTTTTCTGGATAAACGTGTCGCTCGAGCGAGGGCTCAAAAACAGTCGAGTGACAAACTGTCTACCAACAATGTTTTTGCTTTTGTAACTCGAGCCAAACCTTGGCGACAGTCTACAGAAAATCCGCACCGTTTTCCTCTTTTTTCCATTCTCGAACTCTAGACCTAATAACCCTATTTTCAATTATTTGCACATTACTCCTTGATTTTTTAAACATAGTACAATTCAATCCTTTTGTTTACAAAATCGCCAATTACAAAATATTGAAAACCTAACAGCCCACATTCAAACTTAGGCCGTAGTAGACAACGGAGCACAAGAAGTTGATGGCCACTGCTAGAAGTAAACGAATTTGTGTTAGTGGCAAGTGAAGCACATCTATGAGGGATCTAGTTATGGCTGATTGTGATTCCGATTCTGTTTTACTTTCACCATGAACTTTATCTGGAACACAGTTGCTTCTTCATCAAGGGCAAGAATGGTGCCATCAGGGAGGTGGTTTCCAATCGGTATAGCGATTCTGTGCATTGTTTTCATAGCCTGGCTCATCCTTTCTCTAATAAGACACCATCGAGGGGACTCAGACAAGAAAGGAAGTATGATAGCAACGAACAGAATGGAGGGAATAGAAGATGCAATATAAAGAGATCTCCATAATTGAAAAATATAAGCTATACCAGATAGAATAGCTATTCTCCCTGAGAAAAAACAGAATGTGGACATTCCGGCAATGCCATGCATTGTATGGCGGACGGGCTTTGTCGCTAGGACAAAAACACAGAGGCCAACTCCTCCAGTGCTCAAGCCAGTCAGAAGGCGTAATCAACCGAAGATTGCATTCAAGATACAAACAATTAATAGAGAGCCTTTTCTTCCCAACCTAGAGACTGAGAGATGACCAAACACTCCAGCAACAGTAATGATAGGCACAAGTATTACATTCACGATCCAAATTTAACACTTAGCGTATACTTGATTGGTTCTTCTATTAATTAATCTCTAGTTATGAACTTCTATACTCCTGGAGTCTTAATACATAGCACATGAAAAACTTGGAGACTTTTCTTCCTTTCTTTTTTCCTTTATAAAGGAAAACACCAACACAACATTTTCAGGCTCCATTAGGGAAGGATGATGGGGGATTTGGGTTCCCAACTGTATATATAAAACCAAACTCACAAGAACAAAGAGGAATGGAAACAAAAACTCGACCTCCCAAAAGCGAAGAAAGGCAACAGAATGGAATAAGAGGGGAAGTACTTGACATGTATATGTAATCAAACTCATCCGAGTGTCTCTTCGACTAGTTGAAAGTTCCAAATTTGAATGGAACTAGGTTTCTGAGGGGAAGGAGTGGATTAGGTCAATATAGACGTAATAGCCTTTGATATAGTAGAATTGCAGTTCTCACAACATCCTCACCAGCCCCACTCAAGAGAAAGCAACAAAACCTATAGCAGATTTCGGACAAAAGTTCTAGCAGAAAGCAAACATGTAGAAACGAAGCCACAGGTTTAGTGGTAAGAGCGGACGCTTTTGGATAGTATAAAAAATTAACAAAGCAAAATTAAGAGATCCATCTTGGTCAGAGAAAATGATTACTCAAGAAGTTAAGTCTCATTTATTTAAAACCTATATAGCAGATTATACTAATCTTAAGCTCCTAACGCACATTAAGAAATCTGATAAAAAAAAATAATAATAATAATAATAATTCCGATGAGTGCATATGTTTGAGATTAAACAACATTCCATTTGGTGTGAAGATTTGATGCTCCAATCGGACTTCAAATCTTTACACCAAATCAAATTAATGAACAGTATTACTTTTCATTTTGTTAATATATATAGTTTTAATTATTTTCCATTTCGCCCTTCATTTTATTCTACTATCTTTTAATTTCTATTATATCATTTTTTACATTCTTTTATTAATTAATGATTTAAATATATTTACATTTATTATAATTTATAATTTTTGAAAGGTTTTTATGTTATCTATGTAATTTTTGTTATGTAATATTGTGACGTGAATGTAATATTCTTTTTAATGTANAAATTTATTATAAATGTAATACTTTAGATAATTAAATGTAATTAAAAATGGCTCGATCGGTTCTAAAGGTGAAATCAAGAATCGTCCTAAAGCGTGGTGGTCGGTTAGGCAAAAAAATCCATCTTTTAGAAGATAGCCCAAAAATCTACTGACTTGCACAATTTTATGAAAATCGTTATGATTCCGGTTTCATTGGTTTAAATTTATAACCCCCCACCCCCCCCCC